AAATGCGGCATGACATTTTTGTAAATGATGGAATAGTCTACATATAAAATAAAATAATGATTCCAAAAAACCTAAAAGCTTTTATTCTTAACAAAGTCCATGAATCACATTTAGGTATTTACAAAACCAAGTGGAGAGTAAAATCATTATTTTATTTCATTAATATGGATTCAAAAATTGAAGAACTAATTGCGAAATGCTAAACTTTTCAAAAATATAGAACTAAAAATGCCCATGAACCAATGATAATTCACGAAATTCCTTCACTTCCATTTGAAATAGTAGGTTGTGATATTCTGGAATATGCTGGAAAAAATTATTAAGTTTTAGCGGACTATTATTCACATTGGGTAGAATTGAAATTACTACCAAACAAAAATTCAGACTCTGTTATTAAAGCACTCAAGGAAATTTTTGCGACATGGAATACCTGATAAATTACTTGCTGATAATATGCCATTCAATTCGTTCGAAATGCACAATTTTGCTACCAATTGGAAGTTTTCAATAACTACAAGCAGTCCGGGATATCCTCGTAGTAATGGTTTGAGTGAACGATATGTTGGCATTTGTAAAAAATTTTTAACGAAATCTAACGAAACAGGGACAGATATTGAAAGTATCTTACTCGATTACAGAAATTCACCCCTTTTCAATACAGGAATCACACCAGCAATGTTATTGTACAGCAGAAAAATGAAAACTAAATTACCTATGTTGAAAACAATGTTACAACCACAAATTGTCGAAAACTTTCATAACATGCTTGAAAATCACAAACTTATAACAAAAATAAATCATGACAAAAATACCAAAGAAAGAAATTATGACCTAAATAAAAAATTTATTATGTATAGGGATAATGATAACAAATTGGTCTAAAGAGTTTAGACAGTACTTCCCTCGCTGTCGGAAACTTGACGACTGCATGCCTATTGTGTTTTTTTTCTCATTACATTTTTGTAGTGGGAATTTAAAAAAAAATTGCGATGACGTCATCAACATTTTTGCAAGGACACGTATATCAGTTGGGATAGATGTAGTGTAATACTAAAAATAAAATTATTATATTCTCAAATTTTCGGGAAAATGAATTGGGTCGTTTTGAATATTGATTTGTAATAATCAATAAAATAACGAAACAATTTACTCACGTATACATATCAGAGGCAACTGAAAATCGTGTATGTATAAACATTCTTAATTTAAGATGACAGGCGTAACAGCATACGTGAGAGTCAAACAAAGAAACTGTAAACAAAACGACAATCGGTTTTATTGCGTCGACTTCCGCTTATTATATAAAACATTGGGTTTTATTTTAATTTTTGACGGTGGACTTCACAATTGGTTGATTTAAAACATGTCTATACCACATTCGCGGAACCTAGTCAGCTATGTTTCAACCGAGTTTTAACTTTAAAAAATTTTGTGTCTACCAAATTGGGTTGGTCCAATGTAATACTAATAATAAGTGTTGCCTTTAATTTGATCAATAAAATAAATTGACTTCATTAATTTTTTTGAGCCACCCTTTAAGAAAATCTAAAAAATATGAACGGAATGATAAATCACAAGTACAAACTCATTATATTTTCTGCATTTTAGATAGGATTTATTTAGCAAAATTTAAGGGTGACGTCACCAATTTTTTTAGAAGGGATGAACAAATACATTTTGAACAAAAGTTTACCATGCTTATAATAACTTTAAAATATCTTCAAGATTTCAAAGCATTCGGTTTTGTAATTCCTGATTAAATCGATCAAATAAATTCACGCATTCATTAATTTTTTTGAGTCAGCCTGTATATGCAAATCCAAAAATATGAATGGAATGATAAACCACAAGTACAGACTCATCATATTTTGTACATTTTAGATAGGATTTATTCAGCAAACTTTTGGGGTGACGTCATCAATTTTTTAGGGGGGATGAGCAAATACGTTTTGATAAAAAATTTACCATGCTTATAATAACTTTAAAACATCTCCAAGATTTCAAAGCATTCGGTTCTGTAAATCCTGATTAAATCAATAAAATCAATTGACGCATTCAATAATTTTTTTCAGTCACCCTATATATGCAAATCGAAAAAATATGAACGGAGTGATAAATCACAAGTACAGACTCATCATATTTTTCACATTTTAGATAGGATTTATTTGGCAAACTTTTGAGCTGACGTCATCAAGTTTTTGGAGGGGATAACCAAATATATTTTGACTAAAGATTTATTATGCTCTTTAGAGCCTTAAAACATCTGCAACATTTCAAAACATTCGGGTTAGCAGATTCAAAATTAAATTGCAAAATGTTGTTTTATAATTTTGATTTTTTTTCCAAAAATCTGGACGTTTCGGGTAAAAACTGAATTCGGAGTCGTAAACTACATGTGTAGGACTATGTTATTTTATACAATTTAAGACCTATTTACTATGTACAATTTTGAAGTGACGTCATCGCATTAGTGGTGGGGATGATTAGACAAATTTTGGTTAGCGCTTTACCATCTACATGATATTCCTAATATAAGTACAAAATTTCACAACAATCGGTCCAGTACTTTCGGAGATTATCTGTCTAATAAAAATCCGTGACGGCAGACGGACAGACGGACGGACAGACGGACGGACAGACGGACAGACGGACAGACGGACGGACAGACGGACGGACAGACGGACGGACAGACGGACGGACAGACAAACGGAAATGGGAGACCTATTTCTTCGTCTTCTAGGGGTCATGAAAGATCGAGGAAACGTAAAAGCAGAGATTCGGCCGACGGACTCGATTACAATACTTCCTTTGCTTACGCTCGGGAAGTAATATGGAAACCAGCAAAAATCGTAAAACCATTGCATACACCGCGTTCAGTAATATAATCAAAGATTTAAATACTAATAAGACTTTAAGATGCAACACTGTAGATTTGAACTTTAACAATCATTATAATTTTAAAAATGCCAAAAATTGTAAGAAGGATGAGGAGCAAGTGAAACAAACGAAAAGCTATTGCAAATCAACCTCTGATAATAATCAAAATGTAAACAGACCAAATTGTGACGTAAATCAACCGAGAATAACACGCTATGGACGTATTGTAAAGCGTGTTGTTAAGTTGAATTTGTAAATAGTAAGAAGTAGGATAAGTAGTTTTTGTAATGTTCAGATTTTTACTTCCCGAGCGTAAGCAAAGGAAGTATTGTAATCGAGTCCGTCGGCCGACTCTCTACTTTTACGTTTTCTCGATCTTTCATGACCCCTAGAAGACGAAGAAATAGGTCTCCCATTTACGTCTGTCTGTCCGTCTGTCCGTCCGTCTGTCCGTCCGTCTGTCCGTCCGTCTGTCCGTCCGTCTGTCCGTCTGCCGTCCCGGATTTTTATTAGACAGATAATCTCCGAAAGTACTCGACCGATTGTTGTGAAATTTTACACTTATATTAAGAATATCATGTAGATGGTAAAACGCTAACCAAAATTTGTCTAATCATCCCCACCACTAATGCGATGACGTCACTTCAAAATTGTACATAGTAAATGGGTTTTCATTTGTATAAAATAACATAGTCCTACACATGTAGTTTACAACTCCGAATTGACTTTTCACCCGAAACGTCCAGATTTTTGGAAAAAAAATCAAAATTACAAAACAACATTTTGAAATTTAATTTTTAATCTGCTAACCAGAATGCTTTGAAATGTTGCAGATGTTTTAAGGCTATAAAGAGCATCATAAATCTTTAGTCAAAAAATATTTGCTTATCCCCTCCAAAAACTTGATGACGTCAGCTCAAAAGTTTGTGGAATAAATCATATCTAAAATGTACAAAATATGATGAGTCTGTACTTGTGATCTATCACTCCATTCATATTTTTTGGATTTGCATATACAGGGTGACTCAAACAAATTAATGAATGCGTAAATATATTTTATTGATTTAATCAGGAACTACAAAACCGAATGCTCTGAAATCTTGCAGATGTTTTAAGGTCATAAAGAGCATAATAAATGTTTAGTCAAAATATATTTGCTTATCCCCTCCAAAAAATTGATGACGTCAGCTCGAAAGTTTTCCGAATAAATCCTATCTAAACTGTAAAAATATGATGAGTCTGTACTTGTAATTTATCACTCCATTCATATTTTTTGGATTTGCATATACAGGGTGACTCAAAAAAATTAATGAATGCGTAAATATATTTTATTGATTTAATCAGGAACTACAAAACCGAATGCTCTGAAATCTTGCAGATGTTTTAAGGTCATAAAGAGCATAATAAATGTTTAGTCAAAATATATTTGCTTATCCCCTCCAAAAACTTGGTGATGTCAGCTCGAAAGTTTGCCGAATAAATCATATCTAAAATGTACAAAATATGATCAGTCTGTACTTGTGATCTATCACTCCATTGATTTTTTTTTGGATTTGCATATACAGGGTGACTCAAAAAAATTAATGAATGCGTAAATTTATTTTTTCTACTCCCACATAGTAATCCATGAATTACGAACTCTCTAGCCTCATAGTAAAACCATAGTTACACCCACTGGCATGTAATGAATGAACAGGCACGTAATATATATATATATATTTCGTGCCTGTTTGGGTAGTTTCCATAGCAACTATAAATATTTGCTTTCCCAAAAAAAATTCTTCTGAAAGTGATTCTTCATTATAGATCGTAGAAAAAGTATATGACACAACTCTGGTGGTAAGCTAATTACGAACTCATATTACATCACTCGCTCGCTACGCTCGCTCGTGTGTAAACTTCGTTCGTAATTAGCTTCTTACCACCCTCGATATGTAATATACTATTATTGATTTACTCAGGAACTACAAAACCGAATTCTTTGAAATCCACTGCGAAAAAAAAACATAATAGGCATGCAGTCGTCACGTTTCCGACAGCGAGGGAAGTACTGTCGAAACTCTTTAGACCAATTTTTTGTTTTTATTGAAAAAAGGGAGATGTAGTGAGAATACATACAAGTATTACGGGTTGCATAAGCAAGAAGAAGTTAACATGGCGTACTGATTGTAATCACGTTGTTTTAATAAATCACTAATCATCTAAAAGTGTATTTAATTAAAAACGACAAGACAACATATGTAGCATTCTAGACTTGTCTTCTGAGACGCAACATTCTCTAATCCTCGAGACAGGCCATCCATTTGCTGGGACAATTTTTCCAACAACTTTTCCACCTTGTCATTCTTCTCTTCATCTAGTTCTGCTATTCTGACTTTGTGCCAAGTTCTTGAAGTATTGTACGCCGCCTCCACTTCCAGGGCACGAATCAAGGCTTCCGATGATGTCTGGTACCTTGATAGTTGTAGGACCTTCTTAATTTCACCGTCGCGAATGCCATTTACGAAGGTTTCTATCGCAAGCGTCCCCTGAAAAGTTGGTGATGCGTTAGTGTATGCAAGACGTACCAGTCTCTTGACATCTGCTTCAAATTCCTGAAATATTACTTGGAGCGTTTTCAAGACCAGTTGAACTTAAGTTTATGCATTGTCAGTCAAATTCAAGGTGATGTGTGGTAATCGAAAAATGGTGCTTCGAGGCGGACATTCGTTTACTGGTTTTAAATACTCTCCAGATTCTCACAAACGTTAGAACAGAGTTAGTTATCAGTACAGACTATGCATAACATGTTTATACGATGAAAATAATTAACTAAGCTTAAGAAAAAATTTTGTAGACAGTACGACTATTGTAGTTTTAAATCCAAGTGACCAAAGAGTGAGAACTTAAACCATGACCTCACTTTAGATCCTAAAATGCAAGAATGACACTTAAGAGTGGCTTTAAAATAAAGAATGTTCAAAAAACATTGACAGTAAGGTGATGGAACAATAATGAAACAGGACAATAGAAAGTAGCAATCAACACAACTAAAAGTTATATTTTCATAAATATTACAACTTGTGATACAAAGTTTTTACCAGAAATTTAAAAATTATATACAGAAAATAATAGAACAAGGCGACAATTGTGTAATGGACAGCAAACATGCTTATAAATTTTGCTTTCGCTTTTGGAAATGTAGTAATCGGATCTTTGAGCAAGTACACCCTGATACCTAAAGTACAACTGAACAAATATTTGTCCCAATCTATTGTGTTACTATTAAAAGGAAAAATATTCTTATCTTCGTCTCCCATTTTGTTCCACAAATTCGTAAATCTGTCTTCGTCAAAGCTCCATTCCCGAGTAGCAAAATATGACAAAACATTTACTTGTTCAGTTACTCGTTTGCTCCTTTTGGCAGCCCTGAAACAAATTAAGCAGTGTCTATACGTATTTAATTTTTTTTTTGACGAAAACTATTACCATACTGGTTTTTTAAAACAGAAAAATACAAAATCAATACAAAGTGCCAACATTAACATCCAATAAGTGTTCACGTTGTACCAAAATTGATTTTGAATTATTGAAACTTTTGGGTACCACAAACATTTCATCGATGGAATTTTCCAGTAAAAGCCGTTCATCATATTAACTAATTTTCCTACAAAAAAAATATATAAAGTCGTGAAAATTAAAGACTAATTATTTACCCACCAAGATGTATATTCTTACCAACACAGTTGAACACTTTGATGGTTTTCGAGTTTGCGGTGTCCCATGCTGCCGCCAAAATACAGTTACAAAGAAAGTCAGCTGGAACTAAATGCAATTTCTTCTCTTTTTTCAGATAAAGATTCTGCAATACACCGCGGTAACCAGCGGCTGCTAAACCAACAAAACCATGATAATTGTCAACCCATCCTGGGACCGGATCTCTGACAGTGTTTGTAACTGAAACACAATTACTCATTTTTAATCTCTACGCTGTGGAGAAATTACCAATTGAGGGACGAACAACAGCTACTGGTATCCCCGTTGTTGAATCTTTAATCAAATCTTCTGATAAACACTTTGAGAAAGCGTAGTTATTTGGCCAGTTATTCAAATAACTAGAAAAAATTAAAAATGGATGTCGAGGCTCTACATAGGACCTCCATTTTCAGCTACTCACGGTAAAAGTGTCTTTTCCAAATCGCGTTCGTTACAAGAGTTGACTAAGTTGAGAAATGCTTCTGCTTTTATCGGGGGTTCATAAATTTCTTCACGAATATAGTTATTTATGCAGTTCGAGTAGGCTGTTGACACGTAGACAAAAACCTGGAATGTTTTTTATTTATTTACCGTGGTGGTTACAATGATCATACTTTCAAATTTTCCATCTCTTTAGCCAACTTTATCATTTCTTTCGTGGAACTGACATTATAACTGGCTTCTTTTATGGTCTGTCGAAAGTTGACGTTGGCAGCAGCATGAAAAATACACGTGGTTTCATTTTTTAAAATATGAGCGTCTGCAGATTTTAGCCCTAAACCAGGCTTGCTGCAATCTCCACTAATAAACGAGACCTTACTCTTGAAATTTTCCCCTTTAATCTTCTCGAAACACTAAAGTCATAATTTTGGAACAGTTGGAAATAAACACATGTTGCTTACTGAATTATCAAAGAACTCGTCGAAACGTTGCTGATGATTTTTTCCATGTTTGGTGCGCACCAAAATATAAATATTTTTCAAGTCAAAACTCATTCGTAATAGTTTTTCCACAACAAGTTTGCCAATAAAGCCGGTTCCTCCAGTTAAGAAAATTGTCTGGTTTTTGAAGAAATCGGAGATTTTACTGGTATTTGACATCGTCGTACGCAGAATGAGACCTGCGCAAAATATTCTGAAAGAAATTTGGTATCAGTAGTTTATAATGAAACATATTGTTAAAAATTATGGCAAACGATGTTTAGCAGTTTAGTGAAATTTATACTTTACCTCGTTGCCTATTGTCGCACACTGTTGAATTCTTTAGATGAAAATATTTACTTCAATTTCTCTTTTTATATGTGGAAACAACCAGGTCATGATGAATTAAATGATTTACGTGTAGTTATTAATTCTTATTTCTTGGACTAATTATATTGCAATTAACGACAAATCAGTATTTTGTAAACAAATTAAAAAGCGACCTCAGAGTCTAAAAAATAATAATAATTAATTAATCAATCAATCTTTGAAATGAAACGTTGTATTCCTTTTGCTGGTTGAAGCTTAAAGTTCAGCTATTAAATCATCGAAAAAGATGACAAAAATAAAGGACTCAGAACGATCCCCTGGAACACACCGAAATCGATACCGATTTTACCAGGCATATCATACCCTGGTCTAAACTGACGCAATATTTGTTGTGTTTTACAAATATGGTCAAAGTTGTTGACAAATAAACATTTACTATAATCGATTTGCTACGAACCTGAATAATTACGTTAGTTTCTGGATCTGGTTAACGTCATTGCAAATCTGGGGAGTGAAAAAATGTCCGGCTCAAAGGAGCATTTTACGGTTACCACTAACTTTGTAGTGTTTGCTTTTTATTGAAAGCAGGTAAGTAAGGAGACCCAAGATTTTCAAGAATATTTTCTACCAGATACATAATAACATAATTTCGAGACAATTCATTGTTGTAACATTAAGATAATCTTCCTAGCAAAGGTAAATTATGGTTAGGGAACAATTTGGACAATAATTTTCAATTTCCTTCTTCAACCAAAGACAATGAGTTATTCTGCAAAGTGTGTGGAAAACTTGTAAGTAAACTTTTAAAATACTGAAGCTTGAATTATGTTCACATTTTTGTTTCCTAGTTTAAGTGCGAAAAAAATTACATTTTGAACAACACTGCGGTGGCGATGCACATAAAAATAACAAGAAAAAATCCAGTAAACAGACTTTATTAAACATTAGTTCCGACAATGATTTTACGCAATTTTGCACCGATGTAGGGCATTTAGCGCAGCAAATATTTCATGGAATAAAGTTAGTTGTCCTGAGTTTAAAAATTTTATGCATAAATATACAGGAAAGCATTTACCCTCAGAAAGCACTCTGAGAAAAAATTATTTACCAAAAGATTACGATATGGTGAGCAATAGAATTTTTATTTAAAAACTTTTTAACATAAATTTTATAATTTACAGGTAATTAAACAAATTAGAAATTCTATTGGGAGTAATGATATATCGATTAGCGTCGATGAAATGACGGACAGATTAGGAAGGTGCATAGCCCATTTAGTAATTGGAAAGTTATCTTCTGAAGAAGCTGGCCGTCCATTTCTACTAGCTTTGAAGCAGCTTGACAAAACTAATAGCAACACAATCTCGAGATTTATAAACGAATCGTTGGGTGTGCTATTGATAATTTTAAGCATTGAAATTATTATAATTTATTTAATTGTTAAATTGTAGCTTTACTGTGGCCAAAAGGAACTGAACACAAAAAAATTAAATGGTTTGTATCAGATGGTGCTTCATACATGATCAAAACTGGCACTAATTTGAATCAAATTAACAACAACAATTAACAATTTACCATGCTTACAATGACTTTAAAACGTCTGCAAGATTTCAAAATATTCAGTTTTGCAATTCTTGATTTAATCATTAAAATAAATTGACTCTGTAATTATTTTTTTTCAGACACCCCGTATAAGCAAATCTAAAAAATATTAATGCAGTACAAGTATAGACACATCATTCTTTACACATTTAAGATAGCACATTTTTTTCAGCAAAATTTTTGGGGTGGCGTCATCAATTAAATTTAATGTCAAAATATTGTTTCCTAATTTTGATTTTTTTTCCAAAAATCTGGACGTTTCGGGTAAAATATTAATTCGGAGTCATAAACTACATGTGTAAGACTATGTTATTTGATACAATTTAAAACCCATTTACTATGTACAATTTTGAAGTGACGTCATCAAATTAGTGGTGGGGATGATTAGGCAAATTTTGGTTAGCGTTTTACCATCTAGATGATATACCTAATATAGATAGAAAATTTGACAACAATCGGCCCAGAAGGACAGACGGACAGACGGACAGACAGACAGACGGAAACAGGACACCTATTTCTTCGTCCCCTCGATAACAATACTTCCTTTGCTAAGGCTCGGGAAAGAAAAAATGGGCTAAACCTGTTCATACGGGTACCACAACAGTGTCAGTAGTATAAGTGGCCTATGCCTAAACTAAAGATTCACACTCTCATTTCAAAAGTGTGCATTTTAACACTCGGTACATGAAATAACAACAAATATTAGAATACAGATGTATTTATTTCTAAGTACATGCTACCATCATTCCTTAAATAATGATTCTTTATAATTACAGTAAAGTTATTATTCGTAGCTGTACTCCTCTAAACTCCTGAATGTTTCTTTTTCTTAAGGTGCATAGCCATAGCCATGGAAATCTAGAAGACATATCTTAATAAATGAAACTATTAACAAAATAACAATAAACAGTTCAAAAATAAATAGTGCCTTCACTTGATAATTAATATACTATCAGACACTATTTTGCGACTGCTCTTTTTTTTTAACAAATTCGTATTAAAAAATTGTACATACTTTTTTCTATTATGGTGTGTTTTAAAACTACTTACCAACTAGCGCTGCGTACACAATTACGATGACTTTCATTTTGACGGAGATCAACACTTTTTGAAAAATACCTAGTCCAAAGCTCCTTATATAGGTGCTGGAATCGTGGTGTCTCATAACCTTGTAGCTACCCAACCCTAACACAGAATATATCTACATGAATTTTACTTTTGTCGGTTGATTTTGATGAAAATTTCAGAATATATAAATACCTGCTAAACATTGTAAAGCAAAATTAACGATGCACCCGTACACTTTATACATATGTGATGTTTTCCATACTTTAACTGTCAAATTATGTAATTTTATATCTTTTTTTTTCCAAATATTACTCCTTAATTGTCGTACTTTGGCTTTCAAATTATTGTTTTTTTATATCTTTTTTCCAAAATTGTACTCCTTAAAGAATATATAACTGATAAACTGTGATTAATGGCTGTTTCATTACAAATGTTTCCGTAACGTAAATGTCAAAAAAAAATAGGCACTTTGGGCAAAAAATTTTAATAAAGATAGAATTCTTTGTAATGACGTCATCAAATTAGTGGTGGGGATGATTAGCTCATTATGCGGGTACCACAAGGACAAGATTCATCCTCTTACTTCAAGAATGTGACTCGGTACATGAAATAACTACAAATATCAGAATAAAGACGTATTTATTTTTAAGAACATCTACCATCATTCATCAACTAATAATTCGTTATAATTACAATGCAGTTATTATTCGTACTCGTCTGAATTTCTCAAAATTTCTTTTTCTTGGCTTTCGAAGCCATAGCCGGGGAAATCTAGAAAATATATCGTAATAAATAAAACTATTAACAAATTAACAATAAACAGTTAAAAATAAATAGAGCTTTCTGTTAAATATCTGGCTTGGTACTTTAAAATCCGCGATGTTGATCCGAAAACCATTTTCTTTTTACGATACATATTTAAATTCTGTTTTGACTTGATAAAGGTGTTACAACAGTTAGTCGTTCTGTGACTGCCAGTGTATAAAAATTACTAGATGCATAGGGGAAATTTTATATCATCAACATAAACCAATAGGTGTGGACTTTCAACCAGGAAAAGAACTACCTGTAGTATAATGATGAAAGTGTTATTCACGATGTTACTTTTATTCAGTTTTGACGTTTTAAACTATTTTTATTAAAGTTTTTATACGCAAGTGAAATAAAAAATAAATTAATTAAGGTAATAAAACAACACGAAAATTACAACACGAAAATTCACAGAAACGCCAAAATATTGTGATTTTTTTTTTTAATTAAAATTTCACAGCAATCAGTGCAGGAGTTTCGTAAACGATCTGTCTAATTAGACCAGTCCTTCATTGCGGGAAGCATGAAACGTCGGGAAAACATAAAATGATTAGTGCATATTGCCATAATTACACGGTCAACTAATTGTTTTTTTTTATTAACAGCCATGAAGCATGTAAATGTCGACTTATTTAGAGGTAGCAAAGTTCAACTTTTGGAACCAAGGTTCAAAAAGAAGATTGAGGTTATGTAGGAAATTGTTCAGTTTACCTGAACAGGGGTTTGGGCGTAGCCAATTTGTCCACCCTGCTCCCACCCGTTTTAGGATAGTTTACCTAATTTTATTATTTCATGCTCTCGGGGAGTCGTCGAGAAGTATCGTGAGGGTAAAGACGTGCCGACCCGAGAGACCGGCAATTTATAATTTTTGTGCGATTAAATAAACCGTGTAACTAAAAGGTGATTTTATTTCGAACAAAACATTTTGGTCCTTCGAGCCGGATTTCTCGCGGAATTAGTGGTACTGTTCTCGCCTGTATCGTCGATAAAAGCTTCACGTCCAAGACAATCTTGAGCATCGTGACATTCGACGACGACAGCATCCCTAGAACTTCTGCAACAGCTTCACGTCCAAGGCAATCTTGAGCATCGTGACATCGACGACATCCAAAAATCGTACACGACTTCGGCAACAGCTTCACGTCCAAGGCAATCTTGAGCATCGTGACATCCGAAGACGACAACATCGCCAGACCGTAGACGACTTCTTCGGCAGCTTCACGTCCAGGGCAATCCTGAGCATCGTGACATCTGACGACAACCAGTAAGTACAGTTCATTCCTTTTTTCATTAGTCCTTTATTTCGTATCAGTGTCAAGTAGATTATCGTTGGATCATTAGTGAACAATGACTACTGAACAACTTTCTGGTTTAAATATTAAGCAGAGAGCGCTAAAACTCAAATTAACCATGGCTCAAAACTTCATAAACGATTTAAAGTCATCTAAAGAAAGTACAGCTGATTTGTCAATAATACAAGAATATTTGACTAGAACCAGGTCAATGTATGACGAATTTTTCGACATTCAAAGTCAAATTGAGGAACTGGAAATTATTTTAAAACAAACATCTACGGCAGATCAGTGTATCACTTTTGACAAGGAATTTTATATCG